GGACACGGTGGGTAGTCCCGAGCGGGCAAGATAGCTCCATCTTGCCCGCTCGAATAGCCAATCGCAGCGCAGGATTTGATTCATCTTACCCGCTCACGGAGCTGGCCATATAATGAATTATTATATCACACGACCTACCAGTCCTAAGTTTTAAACTGTTTAAAAACAAGTCAGCTGTGCGCTTCAAATTTCAGAAAGATAGAAATGAATTTGCAGGTGACCCAAACGTTAAGTTACTTGAGGGCAGATAGTAACCAACCGGCTAGACTCAAAGGTGCACGTTAAAGGTGCAATTTTTTTTTGTTTAGTTTTAATTGTTTCGTTTTTCACGGTTTTCTTGAGGAAAAGACTGATGGGCGATTGTAATCTTGTACTATGCTTATTCCCCTTTTTTTTTAAATTCTAGATCTGAAGTGGTGATTTTTTCTGCAATGAAGGAGTTTCTTAAACTGTTTCTTCGAGCACAAACAGTGCTTGGGTTCATTCCATTTCTTGTGCTTGTTATCTCAGACTGTGTGATTATTGGTTTTGGACAAAGCACTCATGCCAGAGAGGCATTCAGTTGTTACCCCAGATTAAATGCTTCCACTGAACAACGCTGTTATGACCACTACTCTTCTGGGCAGTTTTTAAGGTTTCATTTTGTTATGATGTTTGATGGCATGTTTTGTGTCGCCTGGATATTCTTCATGGTTAAAACTACTTTGGTTTTGCGGTATATCAAACGCAGACGACAAACTCGGAACAACGAGTCAGAACAACCAATCAATCCACGACTGAATTGGTCGCCGACCAAATTTATGGAGAAATNTCTTAAACTGTTTCTTCGAGCACAAACAGTGCTTGGGTTCATTCCATTTCTTGTGCTTGTTATCTCAGACTGTGTGATTATTGGTTTTGGACAAAGCACTCATGCCAGAGAGGCATTCAGCTGTGACCCCAGATTAAATGCTTCCACTGAACAACGCTGTTATGACCACTACTCTTCTGGGCAGTTTTTAAAGTTTTATCTTGTTATGATGTTTGATGGCATGTTTTGTGTCGTCTGGATAATCGTCATAGTTAAAACTACTTTGGTTTTGCGGTATATCAAACGCAGACGACAAACCCGGAACAACGAGTCAGAACAACCAATCAATCCACGATTGAATTGGTCGCCGACCGAATTTATGGAGAAATCCTGTTGTGGTCTGTGCTGTTTTCTGACACATGTTAGTGTGGTAATAATACTACTCTCTTATTTGTACGTAACAGACTCTGGATTTACTGCTTCTTCGATGTACAAGTGTTCGCTGCAGGTAACGGACACAACTTCGATTCCAACCAACCAAACCAAAACTGATTTCTATTGCTATGATCAAAATTTCAAGGAGCAAGTAAATTTCAACATTGCCACTGCTGTCATAAAATTTATCATCTGGATTCTGTGCATGATCAGCTTCATTTACGTATTAAAGACTCCGGATGATAAACTTATGGACACGTTACTTGGAGATGTCGCGGAGGAGAGAGAGAGCAATCTACAACGAGGTAAAACTAACAATTTGCGTAAGTCACACACTTTATACAGTTACAAGTGGAAAAGGGATAAAGCCAGACGAACCCTGGGAGAAGGCCTTTAAAGATCACCAATTCTTGCGAATGGGCAACCTTCCATGAAAATAATTAACAAGGGACTGTTTAGCATTTTAAATGGAACGACTTCTAAAGCTGGTTACTTTAGTGGGTCTTACTAAAGTAAATCCTGAACTCTCTCTTCTCCCCCCTGGGTTCAACCTTTATATAGAGCGGGAAAGGGAAAGTCCAGAGATTGGGTTATTGTATGGTTCGCAGGATCCTCAATCGGCTTCGCATACTGATTTAATTAGGAAAAATTTAAAGTTATCCTTCTCCCAGAAATTCAGGTCAAACAGGAAACATTTCAAGGGAGTTATAAAGGGCTGAATTTAGATGACCTTATAATCTGTGCACTGCACTTCTGCACTTCTGCTCCGACCAATTCTGCTAAAGCTTGGTTAGGCTATACAAATGTGTATTAATTACTGACTTACTAACGGTGATTTTGTACAAAAAGATGTGTCTACTTAAACTTTAATACCAGTAAAACTATTCTGCCCAGTTAAATGGAAGTTTATTAAATAACCGAAAATCTTTGCATTGAAACACAACCACACCCTTTTAATAAGTCTTGTTCAAACTGAATAGGCTTTAAAAGTGGATCTTTTTACCCCTAGAAATGCCACACTCATCTGGAGGTTACGTCGAGTTACGTTCTCTTTCATTCAGCACACTACAAAGAGATGCAGAGGAGGGTGGCTCAGAGAGGTACGACTGGTCAGGGCTCTGAGTTCACACTCGCATTTGACTGTTATTCTTTCTCTCCGGGGAATGAGAGAAGACACAATTTAAAAATAGACGCAGCCAGCAGTATTCTCGTCTGCTTGACATATGAACTTTCGAATTCCAGTAGACTACACCGACGTTTTGTGTTCAAAGTATAAAACGCGTAACATGTAACGTCGTAACAGGCGTCGACATAACTGACAAGCTAAGCGTCTTTGTTAATTAGCTTTCCAGTACCTCTCCTGCTGGACTAACTGGCATTTTGGTTAGCCTACACAGTACTCTAGCTAGCCTTACTGAGAGCTAACGACCGTACGCGTCAAGACAGTGCTTTAAGGGAGCTTTAGGAAACCACGTCGGTGACGCCAATGAGACAATAACCAAACAAAAGGTTTCATGAGTAGAACAGTGGTTCTGCACGTGCGTTTTAAATCTTGATACATTTCTTTCCCGACATCTGCAGAACAACAACGTGAAATGATAAAGTTCTTCGTATTTTTGAGAACGTGAACCGCAGTGGCTGATCTTTCATATCTTCCGTTGGAATTGAACACTGTCTTTGCATGTTTAGCCTGAGCTAGTTTTTAGACTGATAGGCCTACTGAACAGATCTGCACAATTGCGCCATTCGAAGGTTAAAAAAAAATACACTTTTTACAAGACGTCATCCCCAGCGACACCGTCGTCATTCCTAAAGCTCCCTAGTTACTTAAGCCGGAGTGCTTTTTAGACAAACCACAGTTTTATGTAGGGTAACCCGAGTGCTACTCAGGCTAGCCGAATTAAAAATATAAATTTTATCAAAAAAATACTTTTGTTACACCTTTACCCGCTATGTCATTACGCTAACAACCAACTCTTTTTAGTAGCCACTTTGCTATGTTCTATTGCAGACCGGCGAATCTGACTAGTTCTCTCATTGTTTTTTCATTTAACATTTAGATTATTAGCTCGAGCTTTCTATGAGGTGATAGTTGATGAGACCGAAGGCTCAAGTCAACTCTACACATCGAGTTGACTTGCGAGAAATCTAGAGAAAGAAATCAAAGAGATAAGGCGTAGAAAGGATTGTTAAACAGAAGGAAGATGGAGAACAGGAAAAAAGGATTGTAAATATAAGATATGATTAAGTAATTGTTAACTAAAGGTCACTTGAGTTAAGGTAAGCTTGCCAAGAACTGAATTACCTGAGAAGTATCCTAACTAGCCTGCAGAACAGGCGGATTAGCTGGGCAGTGGAGCGCGACGACGAGCGAGAAGCGCGAGACGAAAAAAACCCGCCTGTAGTCTCATCATTGTTTCGCTTTAGCGTAACGCTCTCTGCCCCGCTAATCCTCCTGTTCTGCAGGCTATATTCGAACCTATTTGGGAGTAATATTCCGAGCAAAAGGCCTAACCACGCTTGCTGTTTTCGTACATTTTAGAACCCATTACACGGGTAACACCCTATCATCCTAAATCTGTGTTACCCAAACGCAAAGCAACGGTTACGAGCTCAATGGCTTAGTATCCTTCAATCTCGTTCCCAGAGTCTTCGTTCTCCTTGACCAGCGGTCGGAAAACGAGAGCTCTGGGAGCAACCATTTCAGGCATGCGCCATAGATGCAGACTGCGCAGTGAAACCGGATGGGTAGAATTCGGTTATTTCAAAATGGTTGCTCCTAGAGCTCTCGTTTTCCGACCGCTGGTCAAGGGGAACGAGATTGAGTATCCTTTCCATTGAGGGAAGTGCATGCGCATCGGCGTAACGGTTACTGCGCATGACTCGTTAAAAATGTTTTGTTGGAACCACTGCTGTTCTTGATGTGGAGTTTTCGTGGAAAATGCGATATGAGCCCGAATATAATATCACTGATACGACTTGATTTTTTAATTTACGATTGCCTTTGTGTTGATGAATAAGAAAACAGAAAATATAATTTGAAAGCGCAGCTTTATTTCTACGGTTTGGCTTACCGTCCACACTAATCCGTCAAGAAAACTGAGCCTTTGGAAAACGCTGTTCAAACCGGAGGAATTTGAAAACGCTGGCTTTTCGTTTTAGTGTGGAGAGAAAACATCTTGAAAACGGAGCTTTTTAAAAACAACGACATCACGATAGTTGTGTCATTTCCCTTCCCGAGTTTTCCTCAAACACAAATCCAAAACGACTCGTGACTGTTGCGTTTTCGATTTTCCAGGCGTAGTGTGCGCGCAGAAGATTTGACGCGCTTTCAGAGTGAAACCTCCGTTTCCAAATTTCTCCAGCGTTAAAACGTTGAAACATTAAAACATTGAAAACGCACGTGCTGTCTAAAGCCTGGTTTTCACTAGCGATGCAAGCACAAGCGCAAGCAAAAGGGATGACCCAAGTGAAAACGAAATTCGACGCAAACACAAGCACAAGCAAAATCATCTGAACCTTCCAAACAGTTTAGGCGCGAGGTAATCTGGATCCAGTGTTTTCAGTGGCCAAACACAACCACGTGTGGCAAATATCCTTGTGCATGTGTTATGCTTGATTGGTATTTCGTTTTCACCTATTGCAGCGCAAACGCAAGCATAAACGCAAGTTTATAACCAGGCAAACAGTGAACTACACAATTAAAAAACGCCCCAAATTTCCCACTAGAATACACCAATTGATAAATACAGTGAAACAGGACTCCCCCACCACTTTGATATCAGTTGTAATAGTAGCTAGTTGAGGATACGATTTGCTCAAAAACTATCGAAAATAATGTGGAATAAATTATTAAAAGTTGATACCACCCAAGTCTGTCCATATGAAATTATGAATATGTTTTGACAGTTTAAACCGTAGTTGTAAACGTTTGCAAACATTCTTTTCAATCTACTGAGTTAAGTTTAACTAAATAAACCATTTTCATTTATCCTTTTCCCTCCCTTACAAGGCTTCATAAATAATACAAAAGACGTAAAAAAAGTTAAACGTATCTTGTATGATTGTAAGATAAATTGCAATATAAATGTTGATCTCTTTTAAACAATTTAACAAATATATCCCCTGCTGTTGTGCGTCTGATAAGTACAATGTATTGAGATCACAAATGACATCAGAATGTGGTATGAACAAATTGAGTGTCACTCGAGCCGTTAGGCGACTGTATCACTGATGTCCTTACCGCATTTTGATTACAAATGACATCAAATTGTGGTATGAACAAGAAAGTGTAACTCAAGTTTTCAGGCGGGAGTGTCACTGACGTCCTTACAACAATTTTGATGTCTTCTGTGATCTGTTACTGAACTGATGCATGGTAACATGGAATCTTTCTGTGTAATATAATAAGGAAACAAAAACACAAAAATGTTACAATGCTTATGATGCCATCTATACGTCTGTTCTCCAATTGATCATAAATAACAACCTATCAAAATGCATGAATAATTTGACTTATTATTATGAAAAATTACTTTGTTGCTCATAGAAAATTTTTTAAATAACATCAATAACTTTTGGTAAATTTAATTCCTGTCTAGTCAATCTGCATGGGGTTTATTACTTTTATGGATTTTTTTCACGATTAAACCAGGCAACAATGCCATTACAGCTATACCACACAGCTTGATGACTACATCAAAAGTAAAAAGTTCATCTAGGGATGTAAGCTGTGATAAAATGCAACCAGTTTGACAGCATATAAAGTTGTATGGCATTAGACCTAAAAAAGCAAAACAAGATACAAAGATTACTAACTGTTGAGGGCTGTAAAGAATGTTGAAAATATTAAATAAATGTGCAGTTTCAGAAAATATTCATACTACCCCCACAGAAGGAACTGGAATTTCCTGGGAGAGGGGGCAGGCATAATTTATGACATAATTTTCCTTTGCATGATTGCAGAATC